TTTCAACATGATCGAAGGGCGTCTAAGAGTGCTATTTCATGTTATTTCAAATTGTCCTTGGAAAACGATACGGGACGTCCAAAAAATATCAAAAAATCCTCCTATGTTACATAATGTTACATAGTACGTTAGTTCCTTGAGTTTTTGTTGAGTTCATTTTGGTATGTCCTCCTGCTACAGCAACTCTTCTGAGCCTTTGTGCTCAAGGGTTTGATCTGAAGGGCGTCACCTCATGAACTGGTTTATTCTTGCAAGTGTCACAGGCAATTGATTGTGATTGCTTGTGTTTGGAGGGCTGTGTCTGGGCTCTTGGCTCATGGGCTGGCCACAGCCTATGAGGAAAGGCTAGGCTCCCCCGCTGAACAAGGTACACACCTTTGTCCGCCTGTCTTGGTATGGAAAGGGGTTGTTTGTTTTCTCTTTGGTGTACGTCGCGTGAGCGCAGCGCCTGTGCTTACGAGCAGCTTGATGTCATAAAGCACACAAGGTCAACATCATAAAGCGATACCCCAACGATACACGATAGTGCAACAGGGAAGCGCCTTAGACAGTGCCCCGTGGGCAAGTCTGCAAAGGTTACCACCATGCAAAACATGTAGAGCCTGCAAAGCGATGCATACAGTGCTCATTCTACCAAGCAGTGCGAAACGGCACGGGACGTCCTAAGTTTGAGTGAGTACAGCTTAAGCAAGCAACTTTGAAAACAATTCATAGAGTCTCATATATATATATAGTTTCTCAGGCGTCGCACCACCTACATACCTATCTAAGGTAGGCTGTATCTATGGACTCCTTTTGGTCGTGTGGATTGCTGAGGCCAACCCGGCCAAAGACTGTTATGCCGCCCGGGAACCCGACGCGCGATCCGCAAGCCTTGGGGGGCGTTCTACACCTCGTGGTGACGAGGGGCTGGAAGATGTGTCCACCAACACCGCGGCTTTTTGGCATTCCCATCAATCATTCTGCCACCTGCAACACCTCAACGGGCAAGCATGTGTATATGTATAATTACAGTGTATAATTACATAACACATAATATAGTACTCATTTAACAGTCTCATTTACCACAAAAACAATTTTTAATATATTAGTGCACATGTACCTAGATGCAAACAATTTGTTTGGGCCTTTTGGGCCCTTTTTGAGCATATTATGTTGTTCATTTTTGTGTGTGCGCAGATGTGTTTGGTGAAGGTGTGGCAGGTCAGCGCTATGTGCATGAATCTTTATCGGGGCAGGGTGCCGGGGAGAAAGGACGGGAGGGGAGGAGGCTAAAGAAATCCACAGGAGGCAGGCACAGCCCAGCCGGACATTACATCAACTATCATCAACTCCTTTCCAATATTCACCAGGTCTCAACCCCAAAGGTTTTCTCACCAGTGGCCACCTCGGTCCACTGGGTTGTTCCTCTGAACGAACTTCCCGCACACTCCAAGGCCTCCGAAGGCTCCACCAGTGGCTCCAGGTGGGCCGCCCTGCAAACAGGGGAGGTGAAAAACGAACTGGAGAACTTGGAGCAGATATTGTTTCTTAACAAACATGTGCGGATGATTGCGGATGGGATTGTCCCACCCGATGGACTTGGAAAAGGTAATGTTTGTTTCCTTTGCTGCAGCGACCAATGGACATCCATGATAACTAACCCCATCCCAAAATGGGCCCTCGACGGCTCACCATGGAACTCGATTTTTTTAGTGTCAGTGGTTTCTTGGAGTGTGTTGAAAGATGTTGAAAGGTGTTGGTATTTTTTCATTTTTTGTTTTTTTTTTTTTGACCTTGTCCTGGTCCTGATGAGTCCCTGCTGCGACGTCACGCCCACAGGTGTCATGCCGACGATCTCCAAGGCAACGCCAGTGCCACCACCACCGTCCCAGAGGAGCAGGTGCTGATGCGAACGGTTCGACGGCTCCACATCGGTGGACGATTGGGTTGCAGAAGCGTCTTCACATGTTTCCACAGAGCCTTCCGTCCTGGTCCCTGGTGTTTAATGAAGTTTAGTGATGTGTGGCAGTACCAAGGACAAAGAGACATCAACGAATATGGTTTACATGTGGGGCAGCCTCCCTTCGAAGCACATCCCATGCATTCCAGAATGTTCACGCTTGGTGTACACATTGTTTTCTTCCGGCAGGTGTCGAGGGCAGCGATGCCCGGAACTCTTTGATCAATCATTTAATTGGACATGGGACATGGGATGCTTCTAAATTCTAAACTACGTCCCCACTGTACAGGGAGTTACCCAACTCCTTGTTATAGCCCTACCCAGGAAAAAGTGGATCACCTTTAACCTTTTTTGGGGTTTCAAGTGGCGGATGAAAGCGTGGGGGAGTGGGGACATCCCACGTATAGCAAGAACCGAGCGACTCCTGACGTCGACGTTGGGCGCGGTCAGAAGTCGGATGCGGTGGACGCCCGTCACTTTGAGTCGGATGCGGGTGACGGGCGTCAACATGGATCAACATGCGGGCGTCCTCCAAAATCATCTCATTCTGAATCTACTACTCTCTCTCTCTCTCTATTTTGGTCCTTTCTGCCTGGCTCTCTTACCTTTCAAGTAGTCTTTCAAGTCATTTGTCGTGCTTCCTCTATGTCTATACCCTAAGCTTCCAGGGACGAAGTTTAACTTATCCCATGATGAAAGCCGAAGTTTAACTTGTTCCCTCAGAAAGCCGATGTTTTACTTTCTTATGTTTTTTGATGGTTTTCTTTAGGCCATGAAGAAGCGAACTTGAGAGCTGACCATTGACCATACTCGGACTTTTCTGCGATCCACGATCTCATGTTAAGACCGTTTGTGGCCACGCTTCCGGTCGATTTCCTTGATCAACCACGTGAGGGTTCGGAACCGCAAACGGGCTCTGGTCATAATGCCATCAGCCCTACCGCAAATTGTTGATTATTGGATTGAACATCATGTTCACGAACATGTGTTTTTGTTGCACGATGTATACATGACCCCTTCACGCGTCTTCACGCAGAGGACAAGTTTAACTTGTCCTCTCGAATCTGAGCACAAAGCCGAAGTAAAACTTAGCGCTTGAAGGCTAGGGTATATATACAGTTACGACTGTTATACTGTAGGTGGTTGACATTTTTGACAAGTGATTGACATCGTAGTCAGCCGTCTCAAGCCCTTTTCCCTGCCTAGACCACCTGCATCGCGAAAAGCAACCTAGGGCACATAGCTATAGCTATCCCAAGGATGATGATGCTGATCCTAGCTCCCAGCACCCAGCCGAGGGCCCCAAGAACGGTTCCATCCAATGAAGCAGTTCTTTGGCCTCGAAACATGTTTGTCACTCCGTTCCAGATTGTGAACATGAACTGTCAGCAACGGCCAAAACATGCGAGCATTTCCTGGCCATTCGTGCAGGCAAGAAGAAGGACAGGGAAGACCAGTGGGACGGGAGGTGCAAAACGACTCGGCACGAGCAATTGGTCTTCTAGGGATCCAAGCACTTCTCAGAAGGTGATTGCATACACTGTTATGTTGGTTTGGAGGGTCCAATTACCTTGTGAGAAGGTACTGTACTTGGAGAGTACCCAAATATCTCCAAGTTGTTCCTTCTGCGAGCGCCGTGGACCTGGGAAAAAGAACCTGCTGAATGGCACCCAGCAAGAGCAGTCTTGCAATGAGGCATATATGGGTTATAAATTAGGCGCACATGTGTTTAATATTGTTTCATATAGTGTTGTTTTTCAATATGTAGCATATACATAATTTACGTGTACATCTTTACAGATATGCACATTACGTAGTTATATAATTGGTAATTACAATGCGGCTGAGATGTAGCACTGCGCCACATGGCCCACGGCATCATACCTCATATGTCAAGAAATCGTGCAATGACCCGAAATGTGCGTCGCCTTGGTGTCATAGTGTGTAGGAAATGGTCATTGTGCATGCGCGTTATTTGCTTCTGAGTGCGTTAAAGAAGGCACCCAAGGCCTAAAAGCAGACAGCTTTGGCTGGTCATGATTTAGTTCACATTCACCATAGTCAAGCAACCATAGTTGAAAGAACTCCAGCTGGACAGTACTGCTTTCCCACTGGTTCAGCTTCGGCTCGCCGTGTGCAGGACAATGGCAATTGCAGGCCGGGCAGGACGTGATTCGTCGGATGTGGATCTATGGCCCGAACCACTGGCACGATTAATGCTTCTTTTCCCTCAGTGACCACCCAAAGAGATGCAACGAAGAGGGAATGCTCGAGAAGTGTACCAACTTGTTGCCTTTGATTCCGGATTTCACGCAGCACAGCAGACAAGTATGCTGTAACATGTCAGGCAAGACTGAGCCAACAGGTGCCTAGCAGGCCTAAGATATTCTATAAACATCCCGCAGTGGCATATGCTCGTTTAGATTGATGAGGTTCATGGTTTTGTACGTCACAAAATGGTGTGAACTGAGTTTTTGTTTCAGCAGTGGGCACGTGCCTTCACAGAATGTTGCTAGTGTTCCATGCCACCCCAGGTAAGAACAATGCTCACAAAGAAATTTTGGGCCTGCTTGCAAGAAGGCATGTTGAGGGGTCCATGCAGTTTACCAATTCTTCGCATGTTGTGCCGGAGAACTGTAGTTAGCGTAACCTGATCCTTAAGCAAGTAGTTTAATAGATATGGCTATGACTTTACATTTTCTGACCCAAATAGTTCATACTAGGATCATCCAATGGGTCGCCAATGGACCACCCTGCACTACATCTTCTGGAGCTCCAGACAGGTCTGATCCTTATATAGATTTAAACTGGCGCTGGCCCCCCCAATTTGAAGAGGGCTGCCTACCAGTGGTGGCCGCGTAGTTGGACTCTATGGGGAGATGCTTTCCACTTGTTTCACTGTCAAAGTTTCAGTGGAAAGCACTTAACTTTCTTGATACATGTTTCTTCCGCATCCGCGTGGCTTTGGAGTGGACCTTCCCGGATGTCCGGAAGCGTTTTGGCTGAGCTTGGATCAATTTTGACGCCTAAAACTGGCCGTGGCGCAAATCCATCCGCCATGGACTTCGATGACTTGGACGAGGCGGCGGGCGTTTTCAAACTCCCTCCGGGGACCTGACCTGGCTGCGGGACCTGACCTGTCGGAGGTTGGGGAGAACCCCCCGCGAGGTCTTGAGACAAACGCCACATGTCTTCCGAAGATGGGCTGATCTGGGCGTGGTTTCCGGGTCGGAAGATGCTTGGCACAGCGCGTTCGCGCTTGACCCCGACCATGCAATTCTGCTCCCCAGAGTGCTGGCGCGGCCTGAGGTGGAAGTGGTCGCCGATGCTGCCGAAGAAAAGGCAAAAGCACGTGTTGTGGGGGGTTCATCGTGGGGTTCATTTTTTGTGCATGAATCTGAACAAGGAGACCGCAGACACTCAAAGACCCCATGGTAAAAGGAAAGAAACACAAGTCATCGATTGATTGGGGTGTGGCTGTCTCCATGTTGCGCGGCCTTCCCATACCACGATCAAGCAATTTATGGAAGAAAAACAGGGTGTAGAAACCTGTGGGCAACCAGAAGATCAGCAACTACAATACAATCAGCAAAAAATGCCTTCCATCAGGCTATATCAGGCTTATTCCAACCTCGGCCAAACAAAAGCCTCCACAAAACACCTCCCCCTTTGGCCCAGGAGTTTTGCTTGGGGCGCTTGATTCTCTTTATTGAAGGGGTTGCCCGGCTCCGCCCACGCCCATGATCCACAACTCTAATGGATCTCAAGAGCACCCAACTCTAATGGAACATTTTCTGAATTTTGTTCTCTAGGCCGCCGCAGAGCGTGCCGCCGCTGCAGAGAAGCTCTCCGCCGAGAGGCGCGGCTTGCGGTCAGGCGATGTTTGAGAGGCGATTCTCAAAACCCATCAGGCACATGGAACTTCCAGCTGCCATGTTCCACAGATGTTTCATTTTCGTGCAGATGTCCTCTACAGAATCAAGCTACCTGGGATACTCAAAAGAGCTAGATTATAGGGGGCCGTACTGAGTGGATAAAATTGGAGGGGTCAGTGCCTGGACTTTATCTGTGTGCCAGCCTGCCAGCAACCTATCCAGGGGGTCTGTCCTCCAAAAAAACCAACCCAAGTAAGGAGTGGATAATATTTTTTGGGGGTGGATAAAATGGGGTCAGTGCATCAAAAATATCCAGAATAAACGCTCCAATTTTATCCACTCGCTAGTGGGAGTAGAAAAGGAAAGAAAAGATAGAACATCGCTCGTGGGACGTTCGTTAGATTTCCGCTCGTTAGATTTTCCGAGCTCCATGGACGTCATGATCACAGAGAACCAAAAAATTGTCGGCGAAACTTGCCAACGGAACGTCAAAGCATCAGTCACCGCGGGCTTTCAACTGCTCCAACAGCTGGAAGCACTCTTGGTCAGCGCCTTTCAGCTCTGGATCATTCTCAGTGGGACCCTGTGTTTCGACGTGAGGAGTCTGAAAAATAGTGGTGAGGCCTCACACTCATCCAGGTTCATGTTATAGTCTTCCTCATCGGGATCCTGCACCAGGTCTTCCATGAGATTCGCAGCCTGTGAAAAGGACACGTGTGAAACATGTGCGTCCTAAAAACAACCTGGATATTTTCCTTGGTACTGAGGTTGGGGAGATATACAAATGACAAGTTGTGGGATACGCTGAAATTAATCTTCTTCTGCTGCTTCTGGGTCTGGAGAGCTTTCAAAAAATTGCTCAACAGCAGCGAATATAAAAAAAAAGGTGCGCTGACATCTGGACAAAACAATTTCAATGCAGAAGTTCCGTTCAACAAAGGAGCTGCTTCCCGGTCGCTCTGGGCATCGTAACCCTGATAAACTCCCGCTGGCATTCCTAAGTCCAGAGCGGCTGTCAAGTCCACAAAATACCGGCCAAAATGTACAGTTCGACCAGCACTGCGGGCCATGCAATCGACATTCTTTTGCAAGTGGTTGGACCCATTGATTCCAAACCAACCTCAACCACAACCACAACCAACCTTCTAAGGTTTGCAGACTTCCGCAACAATCCTTAGTTTTGCAGACCACCACAGAGCACATAGAGCGTTGGAAAAAAACCTGGGCCTGGGATCGTTTCTTTTTGTCTCGTTTGTCGATTAGCATCTACTTTTGAGGGGGGGGGTTCCTCGATCCTATTCGTCTAGCTTGCTAACCTCAGGCCTTCTCAAAATTATCTATCTGCACTGGTTGTGTACTTTTTTTTTGGGGGGGCCTTATGTTGGCCCTCTGGCCTTCAAATTTATCCACCGGTTTTGGCTAAAAACCCGTCAGTCCCTGGAAATTATCCGGTACTGACCCCGGACGCCAGTACAACGGGGTATCTAGATTTGAAGGGGCATGATGTTTGGAAAGGCGTTTTCCGACCGACCAAACACCATGAAGGTCTTCATCACCGGCTTCACCGGCCCTTTGAACAGATCGCACACTGCGCGAATGCGCGGGTCGGGTCGGGTCGAGTTCGTCGTCGATAGGCTGGCGAAGCTGAAGGAGGATGCCGTGGAGGCGCCCAAGGAGGCGCCGAAGGCCATCGAGGGGCGGGAATTGGAGGTGAAAAAGTCAAAAGGTGCAAATTGGGAGAGTGTGAGACCCTGTCAGGTGGTGGGATATGCATTTGCATCACCTTCGATTGAACGTCAAATACTTGGTGACGATTGAACGATTTATAGTTATAAACTATAGACCCAAAAATGGATTGCTTGGTGTCGAGTTCCTTGTCACATTTAACATGCAACCTGTACATTGTTATTGTGTAAGTCAGTCTCAAAAAGGTTTGGTAGAAGTTCCTCACGATTGCGAATTGGTGTTGGCTTTTAGTTGATGTATGCAGGGTGGTTGACCTTTATAAGTTGTTGCGTTGGAGTCAGGTGTTGCTGGCCGCTTGTCGATTGGTGTGCAGAGGCGGACAAATCCTTTTCACATCCATTCACCAGAAGGGCCACTTGTCCAGGTTCCCATGGCTGCCGGTAGGCATTCAGTGACCGCGGCCAATGGAAGGCTTCCTTCCATTCATCACAACCTGTTTTTGATCAGTGGTACATGGATCCAGCAATGCTGGTGACGTAGCATTGAGATGCATTGCGTGGGCAGCCACCGGACAAGGCCACAGACACAGACCCCGGCGACCCTCGCCAGGCGGCCAATGGAACCAACGGCGCCAGCGACGCTCCGTCCGTCCCGCTGTGGGAAGTGGTCGGAGGCGCCACCCCGGATGTTGGAACATGGTTTGAACCAGGCTGCTTGGAGGGGCAACAACTGGTTTTGAAAGCTAGAAGGATGTTTCGGGCACATGTTTCTGAAACGATGTTTCTGAAACTATGCTATACCTATATATATATATAGTGTGTTTTGCAAACTGCTTGGTATGTTTCGGAAACTATGGGACACTATGGGACGGTATAAGTGCTTACACTAAGATCACTAAGTATCACCAAGTGACATACTGTTGCAATCGCAGAGAACGTCACCAAGTTGGCCCCAACCCCCCCCACCTCAACTGCCAATCCAGTGAGTGTCTACAGGTAATATCAGGTAATGTTGCGATTGTGGCTTCTGACAGACATGTAAGTATTCAGAAACTTTCTGATACGCACATGGTTTCTGAAACGTGCATAGTTCCTGAAACTGGTGCCATAGTTTCTGAAACCGTGTTTGATCATTGTGGTCAAAAGCCACACTACAGTCACATCAAACATTTTGTGTGTTATTCGTGGTTTCGAAGGGATTCAACCATTTCCATTTGCCATGTGACTGTTTTTCCAGCACGCGAACGTTCGGTGCGCCGTTCTCGAGGTGCCGACAAGGGTGGCATTCTGGTGCGTGATGGTGAGAGCACGTCCTCGCAACAGCTCTCAGAACGACTTAGCCCCTCTGGTTGCAGAGCATTTTGCCAGTGGAGGCCGCACGAATTCACAACAAAAGAACAAAAAACATCAAACAACAAGATGAGCCACATCCAGTATTAGTTCATAGAATCACTTGCCCATCCTCGCACCCAGGGTGGCCTCCAAAGTTTGACACATTTCAGGCGAGCTACACGTCCTCTTGGGAGGAATCCCATCTGATTCCACCAAATTCCGGAACTTCTAACTTGTTCCCAGGAACAGCACATGATTCACTACCTGGGTTTTTTCACTGCGTCTAAGAGCCGTTGCCTCCCCACCTCCCTACCACGTTACTTGCAGTTCATGGCTCCGTCCCGGCTCCTTCCGGCGGCGTCCGCCTCTTCCTCCGCGGCGGCGGCTTTTTACGGTCGGAAGCGACCGGACCGAGGTACCGGGGCCAAGGTGGAGCAATTGGAGCTTAAGGGTCAAAGGCTTCACTATCGCCTCAAGTCAGGACCGGAGCGTCACAACGTCACGTCTCGGCGAAGAGGGTCCGATGCGAAGGTCCGATGCGACGAGCTTCGAAGGTCGAGCGTGCGATAGAGTGCGTGCGTGTGTTTGCAAGACAAAGAGATGCAAAGAGTTCCAATCTAGATCAGATGCGCGTCTGGTCAGCTAGGTGCAACGTGGTGCAACATACGACATGTGAATAAGTTAACACGATGATTACACAGAGGTCTACACGATTCAGCCCTATTCTTGAGACCGAGCACAGCTCCGGCGGGGTCGCAGGAACTGGGCCTCAGGAGGGCTGGATCAGCATCGCGCTTTCAGGCCACACGGGGAGGGGCGGTCAGGGGGTTCCGTCCTGATCATATTTGCCTTAAATAGAGCATTGGCACATCCGGTCTGGAAATGTTGGGGGGGAATTTGAACCGGGATTGGTCAATATATATCCTATCATGATGATAAGGATGCTATATCATTGTATGATATACCATACCTGTAAGTTTGGGTCCAAACTTGGATCCCCTTTCAGGCGCTCATGTTCACCTGTTCATTACCATCGGATGGAGGCGGATGGAGGGGCTCCTTCAGCCAGGTTCAGCGCAGATGGGTCTTAGTCTTGGTCTTCGGCAGGATGTGGGTCTTAGTCTTCGAAATCGTGAGCCCCCCCCCCAACGGCCCGGGGGCTTGCAGGCCCCCCCCCACATCCCAAAACACCACACACCGGCGCGAGGACCGAACGCAAGGACGGCGTTCGTTCGTGGCGTTCGAGCGCCTCCCGCAGGCAAAGACTTGGCCGTGCTCCTGCGACCCCACGTGCCGGTGCTTCCACGTGATACGGAGCCCCGTTGCTCCGGCGAGCTTGCCAAGGCGGGTTTGAGTCCTAGAGCAAGTGGAGTCCTCGACCTAGAAATGGAAGAGGACATCGACATAAAATGACATGAAACATTTTCAGCACGGTAGGTCTTCATTGCACTTCAGGGAGTGGCATTTAGGTCCTGAGGGTCAAGAACTAGAAGGGTACAGTCACCAAAAGAACGTTCCGTAGTTGTGATGCCAGATGACATTGAAGAATTGACCAATCCACCTGAATACCGATGGGGTCCTATGGTCTCGTTTTTGTGGCAGTCGGACCATGTAGGACATCCCAGTTCCCATTGCAAACATGGAACCTGCATTGGTCTCGACCCAAAAGGTGCTCGCAATGTTGCAGAGGTTACAGTACCCTCCCTGCAACAATCATGGAAGTGGACAACCCCCTCTTGGTAGAGGAAAGTAGTCTTCCAAGGGGCCACTGTTCACTTCCATGATTGTTTCAGGGAGGTACTGGGGTGTACATCACTATTCACACTATTTCCAATGTGGCTGTTTTGGGCCATGATGACTTAAGAACGGATTCCCACCGGGCAACGCAGAACTCTCAGCTGTGGCCGCTTTTGGGGGGAGCGCTATTTTGTCGAAGACTGAAAGGACTAAGCGAGCTTGTTAGCAGCATTCTGCCTCAGCCCCTTGAGCCTCTCCGGCATTCGACAGCATTTGATGTATCGATCGAGCCTTCCCAAGCGCCAGCTCCAGATTCACGGCCGGATCGCCGGTTCAGGCGCCCGTGGGTTGGACTCCGGTGAGCATGCCGCAGCTGCAAGAGAAGCACATGCAGATGGTGACTCGGAGGAAGTGGGAGGCCCCCAGGTGTCCTGTGAAAAAGCACGGTGAAAACATGGCACTAGCATTCGAGTTTTTCCAAACGTTCCCGAAATTGTTCCCAAAACTTCGTGCAAGTTTCAAAGAAGTCTTCTATGGGCCATTGTCCTTTCATCATTGGATGTGGACGTTGGACGTTTGTTTTATAATGTTCACTTATATTTTTGTACATTGGACTACACCGACTAACACTGTCAGATCGCTTTTTTCGATGTTCTGGCTATGCAGAGCCTCAAGTTCTGAACACGCTCAGGGTCATGAAAAATGTTGACCCCCAGAAGGTGGTTGGGGTGGGTGCCAGGGGGGGTCTAACCACCTTCTGAGGATGTGGTTGGAGCCCTAGGGTTCAATCTTGAGAACCCTTACCCCTACTCCAATCCCTTTGGGGCGTTTGCCGCTTGTTTCAATTTGCTCCCTATCTTGGACCTTCAACATCCTTTTGTTCAAAGGCCCACGACCATCCACCCGCGCAGTCCAGGGGACAGGCATCATTTACAAGATCGATTTTCCGTTCAATGCCGAGACTTGGCTGTTTCGCGTGCGCCCAACGACGGGAACTCTTCCGTTTTTCCCTGGTCCGGGGGTTGAACGCGGTGCAAGAATGTGGAAGACCTGTGAGATGCTGTTGAGGATGTGTGCATTTAAACTTTACACGCCGCAGGTGTATTCTTGAGGCGAACTCACATAAGATGCTGCTCCAAAGAGACGCCAAGCTGGTATTGTCATGAGACGTTTTGAGGCATTCTCGTTCTTGTTTTTCCCGTTTGGCAATTGAACAGCATACTCCATCCAGCATGGAGTAGCCAGGGCGGGCGGGTTGAGTCGGAATCAGGTGAGGACTCGACCCACGGGGGGTGGCCGCTGAAAGTTGATTGGGGTGATCTCTCAACACGATGCAGTGGAATTGTGCGACTGATGGGTGGGATGCTTGTGACGAAAGACACAACAAGTCTGTGGAGACGTTATGTCGCATGATGTTGCACACTTCGCGTGCAGGACTTGGATCCTTTTGCAGCTTCGAAGCTGCCTTCGGAATGAATCCGGTTCCAAGACCTATTTGTGATGTGTTACATGTTCTCACATATTTGGGCAAGCGAACGACTGCCTTCTGCGCTCAAGAACACGGTTCTATACATCACGGCACGTGCAGTGCAATATATTCAGTGCATGCCGCGTGAATCGACCGGGCACAGAGCCTACCGGTGGTTGGGTTCACAGTCATTTGGAAGAACACTGAGATACACTGAGCCTTTGTTTTTGGTGGTGGGCGAGGTCCGTTTCCAAAAAAAAACAAAGGTGGGAGCTGGATCGAGGATCGAAGTGAAGACCTCAGACGGACCGTCCACTGCGCAGGTGGCCAATCTTGAGCCAAGTAAAGTGATTGGTGGTAAGAATACTTTAATAAGTTTGATACGGCCAGAAGTGATTCAGATGGTCAGAATGATCAGACGTTTTATACTTATTTTGTATAATACTGATATATTCATTGCGCCTGTGTCCAGGTGCCAGGCCAGTCATCAACACTGGCCGTTGACCAGAAAACAATTTGCCCCCCCCTCCAACAACGTTGGCTTGAACTGTTCAGCCAGTGAAAGTGGAGAACCTTACTAACATGGAAGTGGAGAATGGCCCCGAAAGGAAGACCATGAAATCCACGACAAACAGGTGGTGTTCCCCTCCACGTAACCATGTTAGTTAGAGGGGAGAGAGTATTCTTTGGGGAGCTTGGTGGCACACAGCTGTTTGACCGGTGGCACATAAGTTCGGCGCTGAGGAGTTGCTACAGAAGATGGGGCCGTCATGGCTCACCAAGGCCTTCCATACGGCAGGTGCGGTGGTGCTGGCGCATCGAGAGGGTGTCAAGTGGCACAACAGCGAGTTGCAGAGGCCTAGTTGAAACAGATCTTTGCAACATGCTGAGGAATTCATCCTACACACATCCACCTAAGATGAACGAACCCACATGTTGAAAGTTTTGGAGTTGTACTCCCAGACACCTGCAGCTGCAGGTGGCTGAAGGTGGAGACATGTGTTTTTTCCCAGAGCGTCCATTCATGCCCAGATCTTTGAACGTGAAGACGGACACGAAGACAAGTCGCACAAAGACACGTGACTCCTGTGGGGGGACGCTTTTGTTTTTGTTTTTTGGGTGGCATGTTTGATTTCTGAAGGTGCCAAATCCAAAGGGGCGACCCCCTATCTCACTCCTCACTCCTCACGGACAGACAGAGATAGACAGACTCAAACAGGGACTCCAAGCACGGACCGATCCTTTCCTGATACCTAGCGTCTCGACCCTTTCTCGGCTGGCGACGTTGGCGGTGCTGCGAGATGTTTTCAGGCTCCATGCCCAAAGACAATAAGGTGAAGACCTTGAAGAACATTAAGGAGAACCCCGCCGTCGTGTGTCACGCGACCTTGCCCCTATGAAGTCGCATCACGCGACAGATTCGACGCCGCGGGCATCGACACGGTTTTAGGGGGTTGTGAGGCGATGAAGAAAAGGAATTTCATGAGTGTCCTGAGGGTACTAAGAGTCAGGAACCAAAAATACCACACGTTCCTCCTTGCAGCCATTGCCTGTTGAACAAGGGTTGGGGACAAAGGATGATTCCAATTGCCTGGAAGACGACTTGGCGGACAGTTCCATGGTTAGTTTGCGCGCGCATCAGGGTTCCTGCGATGTCTGGTGGATGTGGTGTTTGTTGGGGTGTTGTGAATGACAAAACCATCACAAACCTTGGCATCTCTCCCCACAAAACTGAGAAGGGAGAAGAACTCATCACCGAGCCCAGCAACTCCTCCAGGTGAGGTCGGAATCAAGGGTGACGAGTGTCAGCTGGGGAATGTATGGGGTCCCATACTGGTGATGGTCCCAGAATCAAAGACGAATGCGGGGATTTGTTCGACTTCAGCTATGACTTGGCCTTGCAACTGTGGTATGGGAAATTAACCAACCTGGAATTCACATCGAGTGCTCACCTATGTTTGTGCCACAACTGTTTGTTATCCGTTTTATCAAGTTCTCCAAGTCTTCACGCGTCATGAGATGTCAAGAAACATGTGTGCCTGGCATTGCCCGGCCCACGGTCCGCCCCACGTCTATCTCATTTGCCTCGCGCCTGCGTTGGCAGGAATACATCGGCGGAGGGAACTGCTCCAAGCTGGTCTTCGATGCGCCCTGGCCGAGAGGACCTCCTCGCCCTGGCGACCCAAACGCGCAGTCGGAGTTGATCTCCCTAGCCCGTCGAGAACGGGAGATGTGAGGCACATGGTAGCGATCAGAGACTCATACAGAACCACCTCTCAAATCCTCTAAAGAATGTTACAGTACTGACCATTTTACTTGTACTTGATCATGTCGACCTGCACTTATGTAACTCATAGCGCAGCCAAAAGCGCCAATCAGTCCTTGTGAATTCTTTCCTGTCCCTCCAAAATGCCTTCTTAAGCCGGTGTTCTTGATTCATAATGAACTGTCACAAACGTGGTCTTGCCCGAGACTGTCAGGTGGAGTATGAGCAGCCAGCGCCCGATTTGCATACCGAGCTCTTTGCGAAGATCCCCTTCCCACTGGCCGGCAACACGCTGTCTGATCGTATGGCATCGTCCGTGATGCAGATGCTTTCCACGAGTGGTCATCGATAGGGGTCGGAAGGGTGTGGAAGGTTGTGGAAGATTACGGTGTCTACGGGCTTCAGGGTTGGGTGTCTTCATGTGCCCCTTTGATCTCAATTGCAAATTGGGATGAACATTTTAAAGACTCGCTTGTTGATGCTTGTTGTAGGTCTTGGCAATCGACCAAAGCATGAAGAACGTGAAGAAGACATATAAAATCACACATAGATATGTATTTAAACAGATAGAGGAAACACAACGCAAAGATTGACTAGAATCTAGTAGATGATATTACGAACACCGTGATTCACCTACAGCCTACAGCATGTATCACTTAACCCCCCAAAAAGACTTGTCTGCTCCCGCCACTCGGAGAGACCCATCCCCAAGGAGTGGAGCAGAGATCGGAGAGATCAATGCTCAAAGACTTTTAGAGCACCTGGGACCTGGGCCGAGCTCGAGCGCGGCACGCGACCACAGAGAAAGACCGCTCGTGCGAAGGCACGACTGAGGATCAGTCACTGATCCTCAGGGAGGAGAAGTTCCTTCATGACTCCGGATGTGGGGGGGGATGTGAGGGTTTTTCCCACCCTTCAATCTCTAACACCGCACCGTGTGGAAGGAAAGGTTTATACCTGTTCTCCGGACATTCGAGGCGGCACATAGCTAGAGCCTCGGCGGTGAAGAAGGATTCACAGGGGCCCCCCCAGAGCTCCAATGGCATCCTCAGAAGACGGACCTCCAAACGTAGTTTCGCGTTGGTCATTGGGGTCCGCCCTTTGCCAGATGATTCTATGGCTGGATTCCATGTTATTTTGGTTGGGAGGCACAAGGCGTGAGTATGGGACCGCGCTGCCCTACCAATCCTGGAGGCCCAGCACAGCACGACAACGCAAAGCTTGGCCTTCCTTCATGTTATTAATTCATTAATTCGATTGATCAGTCGTCTTCATGTTTTTGATCGTTTTGGGCATGGACCTTCCTGACGGTTCTTGACCTGCAGGCTGTCGATCGGGCCGGACCTTCAATCGTCGTGCCTGAGGTCGCGCCTTCCTTTCAGCATCCCCAGGTACTATTTTGGCGATGTGTCGAACGATGCTCAGCTGTGAGAGCACACGGTTTTCCTTGGCAGGGCGCCCGTTGGTTGGCTTGCGTTTATCAACTCCACTTGATCACTTGATCTTAGACCCTTCCCGTTGAGTGAACACGAACTCACCAGTCCTCGGACCGGCCACGAACTCACCGGACGGGGCGGGGTGGGTGGGTGGGCCTTTTCGGCTTCGGCGAGCCGAGGACACCTCCAACTGGATCCTCATCACCGAGCGGATCCCTTTCGGGCCGCTGGGGCTAAGAGCGACCAGGGGTGGAAGAGAGTTTCGGAGGGTTTGGATTCCACAGCCGAGGTTTGTAGAGGCCAAGAAACTGTTGGAGTATGTTGGAGTTGTTCTTTCGTTGGGTATTTGTTCCAAGTTGTCTTGACATTTTTCACTTTGTGGGTTAGGGCCAGGGATGGTTAGGGTATGTGGTCTGTGGGGCCAGACAGATCACAGATCAGAATTCTTGGACGTGCCAGTGGAGCTCCTGGAGGCTAGACACACTGATGATTGGAACATGCAGGGAAGCCTCTTTGGCACCCTTTTGGCACCGGCCCCCAGGAACGGATCAAACCATGAGCGGGCCCCTTATGGGGTTCCGGCCCAGAATGTTGGGCTCCATTGGTGGGCGGGACTGACCATGCGGCGAAGAACGGCAGGCTGAGGTGATTGCAGACCTGCAGCTTCCCATATCCATAGACATCGTTCTTCCCAGCTTTTCTTGGTTGGATGCAGAATCCACCACTTTGACCAAGCAGCTATCCATCTCCGAAGATGGTGGCACGGATGCATCAAAGAACGCTTTTTCCCCCTAAGGAAGCAAGATGGTGATCGAAAGATGGACCCTGCCTATGACAAGATGAAGGACCGCGGCAGGTGCCCAGCCCCGGCACCTCCACCGAAAAAAACAGCCCTTTTTGCGACAGGGGCTGGGGGAGTGGCTCGTGGCCACATGTCTCATGGGGTGCTCTCCTGCAGTGTATTTCTTGTATGATCTTGTATGTTGGTGCGGTTTGATGGAAGATATGCCACATCGAAGAGGAGTCTCAAGTTGAACTTATTATCTGAACTATTCTGAACCTAACCGTACTACAGTATAGTTATTTGTTATGAATTTGTCATGCACTGGTTTGCAATTCTGAAGTTGCTCCACTCTTCTGGGTATCCATGGGCGGACCCCATTTTGTATGATGAGACCTGAGTGGGCCTCATAGAGTCGAATGTATCCAGATGGCCTGGGGGTATCCCTTTTTCGATCTCGCGCACGTATCTTTACCGTCGCTGAGAGGACTGGGAGCTGAAGGGGACTGTAGACGAGTACTATTTCCTGCTGACCACCTATGGCGCCCGCATGGCGGGCATGGACAAGGCGGGCATGGGAGAAAAAGGCTTACGCGCAGTGCACACAGCGTTGAAGCCCGCTTTGTAACGCTATTGCGTTCGAACACCTTCCGAGAAGGGACTGGACATGGAGACCAGAACTGTTCCTGAACCTTCAAACGTAGCAGAAATTTCAGTACATCTCAAATTTGTAGCATAAATCATGATTGGATCAAAACGACCACTTTTTGGAGGGTCGAGCAGAAATCTGAAATCGAACAGTTTTTGCCTCCGCAGTGGCCACCATTGGCTCTAGGGGAGCTGATGCAGTGTATGTTGTACACGCAGGCCAAGTTTTGAGAGAGGTAGGTTCATGTCCAACCTCAGCCGTGGAAGAAACTGAGGTCTGCCTGGCTTGTTATATGTTTTGCTGGCACTAGTTGATGTGAAGCGTGTTGGAGCAAAACCCCTTACTCTGTAGCCATTTATCTCGATCTTATATGGAGTGAGCTTCCTACCAAAGCCATTTCCATGGGTTCACCTGTGGCAGCTGCGTGGGAACAGCTTGAGTATGTCGTGTCAGCTGCCCAAAAAGGTCAACTCGTGGTCTATTCAGACCCAAAGTCAGGCGTTTTGACCCGGAGGGATGTCGTGAATAACGCTGACTTGCTTGGGCCATTGATTGAACATGTTGGTAGCTCGAATGCTTCATCCAAAATGTTTGTGTTTTCTTTTTGAGTAGGTTGGCTTAAATCTAAACAGCTTCAACCAGACCTTTCCGTACATGTATGCTAGGTATGCGGCCGACTATTGGCGACCTTCAGAAGCATGTGGATGAATTCTTTTGGAGGGTGAGGAGTCGTGCAAAGGCTCCAATGACCAGTCCCTAGCCTGCTTCTATATAAGTTTGCAATATGTGTCTTCCAACCCCGAAAACCTTGTACATCCTGCTGTACGATAGGGTTCGTGCAAAAGCAAATCTTCACTCGTTCTAAGGTGCAAAGATCAAAGCCCATGCGTGGGCATTGCGACAGCTCATCACTCAATTTGGGAGAGCGGCCAAGAGGCCTCATGTTCCACGCGAGGCTGCCATGAAAAGTTTGTTCATCAGTGCTGGCGTACCTCTTCCAACAGGCCCCCTGCTCCAAAACAAGTTTCTCACACCATGTTTGTGCCTTTTTAATTGGTCCTGCAGCCTAAGTTCAATTGTCATTTGTTGAGTCAGTATGACCTTCCCTCTAGGTGATGTCAAAGAAGAGCCACAGGAAGATGACGATGAAGAAGGTTGGGAAGAGGAAGCTCCAGAAGATGACCAGATTGTAGACCCAGAGGAGCTTCAACTTATCCTGGAAGAGTTTGTTTGGATAGAAAGGGTTACATATCTTTCCCATGCTCCCACATAAGATATCTTATGGAGACAGGGGCCCATGTATGCATCCACAACCAAGCACTCACCCCCAGCTTCAGGACTTGGCTACCAAGCCAGCTGAACCTTCCAAGTCTTTGCCCGGGCCTGCTGCGGAGGAAGCGGAGTCTTTGGAGGAGATTGCGTCATCATCATTGGGGCCAATTGTGAAGGGAGCTCGCAAGGTTGCCACTGATTCACCTGACCGAAGTCAACAACCTTCCCTGCCAGCTCGGCCTACCAAACCTTTGGTGATCAAACCCAGCACTCAGGCATCTACTATGGATATATTTTTTTGGTATTTGGTGGGACATGTTTTAACTGTCCACGTGTACAACTGTACCTGCAACCCTCCCCAAAAAACCCAATCCCAGGCATTCGGAAAGCACCATCATCTATTGCTACTCCTTCGCCCAGAGGCTGGGTGGCCAAAAGACACAGGGCATGACTCATTTCTTAAAGCCCACCTCTTCAAAAAACTGGGGTATCCTGACTGGTTATAATTTGTTCTTGCTAACTCTGGGCCGTTTAGGTGTGGAACCAACGACCCGAACACCTCCAAATCCACCACACCCTACGAGCCTTAAGTTTGGGCATGCTTTGGTGGAGAATGATGGGAGCCACTACACATGTGTGGCATGCTCATGCCAAGCTGCAGACATGGAGGCGCTTGGTGCTATCAAATGTGAGCCTCCTGAGGGTTTCAAGGGTTCCAGCTTGAAACGGCTGGAAGAAGAACGTTGCAAATTGGAAAAAACTTAGGAAGCTTAGGCTGCTCGAGCTGGAAATGCTTGAGCTTCAAAGGCTTCAGAGCCAGCGCGCAGCCCTTGCCTCCAAATCCATGACCAAGCAGATCTCTCCTGAAGGTCAACTCCTTGGAGGCCAGTTTGGCAGTGTAGTTCTGGCTGGATAATGTATATGGCAACCGGTTGTGAACACCCCGATCGTATGTACAGACACGTGCTGTGTACACCTATTCATTTTTTGGCCCACCAAGAGCCCATAGGATCTAGTACATATGCAAGGAACCTATCATACCAACAATCACCAACAATCCCGCCAGTGCAGGACATGTGATGGACAACGTTGAGACCCTGCCGATGGATGTCTCTGAGACCCAGATTGCCACTGTCACTGCAAACACCATTGCCATCGAGAAGGACAGCTCACTATTCCAGCTGGGGTCTATCTAGTCAGACTTTAACTAATATAAACAATATATATAGGAGTGTATAAACTTGTGATCTGGGGAGTTGAGCTGTGTGGAAGTCTAGCCACTCTGCAGGAGCAAGCCCTGCAGAAGCCTGAGGCTAGCCCAAAAAGATTTGCCAGCGTGAACAAAGATGGACTTTCCACGACATTGGTTATGAACACGGAGTTCCTGGAAAAACACGAAGTGCCGTGCCCACCTCCACAGGAGGTGACGCCGCAGAATGAAGAAAGTAAGGAGAAGGAGGAGGAGAGTGGCAAGAATGCCACCTTGAACTCTGTTGCAAAAACCTTGGACTACTCGGACATGGGGAAAGCTCTTGATAGTGCAGAGGAGAAAAGCGTGGCAGAAGGGCAAATGGGAAGTGGAGATGATTCTTCTCACGGGAAGGATCGTGAGGGGGGCTCAAGGCAAGGCTTCATCGCCTGAAGAAGCGCAGTGCCCTTGCCCTCAAGTTGCTGAGGTCAAGGATGCTGATCGAGTAGAAGGTGAAGCTTGTGCAAAAAAAGAAGTGGAGCAGATAGCACAAGCCAAGGGTGAGGAGGATGCAAAGAAGGTGAATGGAAATGGTGCTGACGGCAATGAAGGCTCGACAAAGAAGAACAAAAGTGGAAGCAATGAACTGAAGAAGCCAAATGATCCGGAAGTGAAGCGCCCTAAGTGCATTGACACTGCACCACCTGTGGCGCCCAAAGAGCAACCAAAAGCTACCAAGAGAAGCAAGAAGAAAAATGCAGCTTTGAAAGAGCAAGAACGATTGGAGCAGGAGGAGGACGAAGGGGAGGAACAAGAGGGTGAAACGGTCGCCAAAAGTAAGAGGAAAGGGAAGAAATCAAAGGACAAGCATGTGGCGGGCCGCAATGCAAAGGTGAAGGCCGAAGAGCAGAAGGGCAAGCAGGACAAGTCCAAGGAAGAAGGAAGAAAGGGCAAGGCCAAAAAGGACAAACCAAACGAACCAAAAGCCAAGAAGCAACAAAAGACTACGGAGGGAGAGGAGGAGAGTTCAAAGAACGCAAAGCCTGAGAAGACAACAAAGAGGCCATCGAGGGCATCGGAGAAGGCTGCGAAGGCTGCTAAAAAGGATGCTGGCGCTGGCAGGGCAGGAAAGGGCTCTCGGAGGAAGGCAGCTGAGGAGGAGGAGGATGAAGAGCTAAAGGCGAAAAAAGCAAAAGCAGTCACGAAAGTCTTCAGCCTACCACCAGGCCTTCAAAAAGGCCAAGCAGGAAGGCATGTCGGAGGCTGATGCACGCAAGGCTGCCAAGGAGGCTGGCCCAACATGGTTGACACGCTGAATATGCTCGAGTGTGTGTATATATATAGGACCAAACTTCATCGATCGAATAGTAAGTGCAAGTACCACAGAGTAAGTTACCATGCAGCCTTGCACTTCTGTGTTTAGGCGTACTCTTCCACTTCATGATCGAGGACCTGATGCTTAGGGGGTTGGTGTCAAAAGGGCATCAAAATGCAAAGCTGGGGCAATAGGATCTGAGTGCCCTTGATTTGCTATAGCGGGGGAACCTTGCCTGTGCAGGGATCAGTACGTTGATGAAAGATGGATGGTGAAAAGGAGTGCATACCGCTCCCTAGTACGTACATGTTTAGTCCTACAGGAGGTGTGTCAAATGAAATATAATATATATATATATACTTCACAACCTCACGCCAGGTTGGCAATTGGAAGTTGGCTATGGCCACTTGGATGGCCCGGGCCATGAACGCAGGTGCCCCCCTCAGCCTTCAGTGTTTGCGTTTATCACGAATGGTGTTGGAAGTGCGTGCGCAATCTATACACACGCAGCTGGGATCGAGCCGTCATGTTCATATGCAGTCATGGAGTCATCATCACTGAATGATTCCAGCGCAGCCTTCAATTTGATGGAAATGGGTGCTCCAAAATGTTTGGTTGCCCTCGTGCCTAGTATGCAAAGCAGAGTGGTCATCCTGATAGTTCAGCTATGTTCAGAATGAGGGCTCTTAAACTGCCTGCACTGTGCCAACCTTAAGGTCATCATGCTCAAGTGGTGCAAGGACTTTGAAGGTCGTGGACCTTATGACTTCTTTGAAGTCTTCTCCGGAAAAGCGAATACAACCAAGTGGTGGTGTCTTGAACTTGTATGCATTCCAGTACCTATAGACGGGCACTTTACAATTAAGATATTTCATTGCACACAGAACTTAGGCACAAGTGTGGGTTCAAATGTGCATCGTTCGATATAGACTATGCAGCCAATGAACCACGTCCTGCATGTATGAACTTCCTACACCCGGCTGGATTCCTGTTCCTAGGCATCGTTGGTTTCTGTGATTGGCTGGCGCCATGTGTGCACATGTATGTATACTATACTTGATTGCATGCATCATACATGGTCAGGTTATGCCTGATCCTTGCGGCCAATATGCTTCCAAATGCTCTGAATCTACTAGCCCCAGA